AATAAGTCATGTAAAGTCATGTAATAAAAAATGGATAATTTTTATAGAACTGTACAAGTATATAGGCATAATCTACATGTACGTACATATAGGTTTCAATTTACTATGTAATAGTATTGGGAACACAAGTATATAATTGTTCTACATGTACCGCCAGATAAAAACATTCACATTGTAAATTGATAGTCATGAATTAGCAAATTCACTTACAATGTGAATGTAGAGAAAGTGAGAGAAATAAAGAAGTTTTATAAAACTTAAAGTGTCCATTTTTCGCCCTTCTTAACTTCAAGAATAAGTGTCTATTAAAAATTAACAATAGCTTTTAATCAAATGTGCTTAAAAAGGCTTACATCATTGTCTTCCACAGAGGAAAGTGATCTATTGTCTCCCATGGTCTCAGTTTCTTGAAGTAATACTTTCTTGTCTAAATGTTGGAGCCAAAGACGTGTCTCATTCACAGCAGATACTTGAAGCAGTTCCCTTAGCTTCTCTATCACAAATGCTAGACAAAGAAAATGATTGAATTGAATTTGAAATAACATTTAGGATATGCATGGTAATGTTAAGATAACAGTGCTCAATTTCTCATACATAAGTATGTGTATTGGTAGTATTGGCCTGATTTTGGAGGAGATTTAAAAATTCGTAAAAAATCCAAATTTGATCGGAATCAGCTCAAACTTTCTATGCAACATAAAAACATGTATATGTATCAGGAAAAATTATAAAAACAAAAAATTCTCTCCTTTTCATTTTTGGCAAAATTTGGCCAAAATCCCTGTACTATAGTACAGGGATTTTGACCCAATTTTGGAGCAACTTTAAAAATTCGTAAAAAGTCCAAATTTGATTGGAATCAGCTCAAACTTTCTACGCAACATAAAAACATGTATATGTATCAGGAAAAATTATAAAAACAAAAAATTCTCTCCTTTTCATTTTTGGCAAAATTTGGCCAAAATCACTGTTGACCCAATTTTGAAGCAACTTTAAAAATTCATAAAAAATCCAAATTTGATCGGAATCAGCTCAAACTTTCTATGCAACATAAAAACATGTATATGTATCAGGAAAAATTATAAAAACAAAAAATTCTCTCCTTTTCATTTTTTTGCAAAATTTGGCCAAAATCACTGTACTATAGTACAGGGATTTTGACCTGATTTTGGAGCAACTTTAAAAATTTACAAAAACTTAATTTTGATCAACACAAAATTTCCATGCAACGTACACTTTACTAACCAACTGTATCATCTCTGCTGACTTCATAATGAATTCTATCAACATCCGGACTCTCAGGAAAAATGAGTTGAACCAGTACTGTAACTGGATATACTTCAATCATAAGCTTTCCAATTGCATGTTTTTGAACCTTTACAACTTTTCTATGATACATAATAAAATATTATGCAATCAGTGTACAAGTATATATATATACCTTGATAGTCTCATTGACTTTTCACTAATCCCATACCACTGTATTAGGAGGTCCCAGCCAATCTCTGGGATTAACTTGTAGTCTAAATTTTCAGCCAAGTCTTTTTTTAGTTTTGGTGCTTGAAAGTTGATAAACTTTATAAGAGTGAAGTTAGTGACAGGCCCAGGATGAGAGCTCTTGTTGCAGCTGTCAGTTCCAGCTTTAAGGGCAATATCAATGAACTTGGTCCACTTCTCAAACCAGTGACAGCTAACTAGGCACCTGTGGAATAATTAATGTAACTAAATTTAGTTCAATTTAATATTGTTTTATAGTGGGGCAAAAGAGAAAAAAACAAGAAAACATGCTACTCTGATGTTAGTCCTGAGCCAAGTTATAGCTCTGGCCCATGTGCCAATAGTACTAGATATTAGATGCTAAGGGTTACTGGATATATATGAGGATGTTAGTTGATTAAAAATCAAGGCATCTAATTAATTAACATCCGAGTGTATACCTTAAGGAGACAATTGTTTGCGGGTATTTCATTTAGCAAATTTTAGTGATTAAAAAATTACTATTTTAAGTCCGCACAAACTTTAATTTCTGATTAAATTATTATAGTTTTTATCATGAAATGACAGTATGTGAAAATTGCTAAAATAAGTACATGCTAATAATTGTCTCCTTAAGGTATACCATATAGCGGGAAACTTTTGGAGGGAATTAAATTTGGTGAATTAGGCATTTTGATAGCCCATTTGCCAAAATAAAATCTGCCATTTTGAGCCATTATGCGCATGCTCAATGGCATGTGACCACAAATATGCCAAATTAAAATTCGCCAATCACCAAAACTTAGCAATCCGTCAAATTTTAGTCCCTCGAAAATATCCAGTAACACAAAACAGTTGTAGTTTATCTGGTTTGTATAATAGTGTGTGGGTGTATGAAAGGCATACCAGTACATGTATATGTATTAGTCCCATCTGCCACTCCTTCATGCAGTGCCTTTGATACACCCACACACTGTAGTAAAATACAACTCACCATATATCATCTTTTACTAGTTTTTGCTTCATCAAAGAGTCAAAAATCTTTTTTTGTTGATGAAGAGGTGTACCTGCGTATGGAGAGTAAAGCTATAATAATAATAATAATAATAATAAATTACCTATAACATTCCTAATGGTGGGTAATTTTTTCTCTTGACTGCATAATAGCTCATCTATCACCTTTTGCTGCTCTTTAATTCTGAACATGGTGTCATCGAGTGCTGCCTTTAGTGACACTAAATCATCATTAAGCATTTTATTTTCCAATACGAGATCATCACACTTCAAATCCTGAGCCCTCCTCTGTAGCATATGTACATTGTTTATCTCAGTAAGAGCTGAAATATCTGATTGATACTTGTCGTTCAGCTCATCTCTCTCATTAAGGATACTCTCATGTAGACGTTGCAACTCATCTAGTCTACTTTGAAGACTCTTATTATTAGCAGCTCTAGCAGTCTCAAGGGACTGCTGGCATGACTCTAGTTGCGCCTGCTGGTTGAACATTATTGCCTCGTTGCGACTTTGCTCCTCTCGAATCCCGGCCATTTCGTTTTGAAGGTTTTTAATAGTTTCTTTCGCATCTCGGAGTGCCTTTATGTGATTCAACTCTCTAACTTTCTTGTTCTTCTCTTTTTTGTAGGCTAGCGTTATGCTATTGATCTCAGCTTCCTTCTCTTTCTTGATGTCTTCAAGTGCCTTTACAACAGCATCTGTTACACTTACTTCTCTCTCTAGCTCCGCAATCCTTTGTACTTGAGTTATGATTATTTTATCGCGTTTAGCAATCTTTTCCAAACCAGAGGAAACTTGAGCTTTGAGTTGTGTGACATCTTTGCCACATTCGTCTACATTGCCAGGTGTTATAACATGATGGTTCTTTGTTCTTTTTTCAATGGCTTCTTGTGTTTGCTTTTCCTTTTCATTCAGTTTCTCTAGTATCATCAATATCCCTCCTTTACTCAATGGATAAGGAGAAGGAGGACCAGCTGCTTCAATATCTGTCACTAGTTCACTTGACTCTGGCCTGCCCTGTGGATTATTTGCTAAGCATTTCTCAACAATTGGTAGTAAGGTATGCCCCGAGGGTAAGTGAGACAGGTAGCTTTGCCGTCGCTTCCA